CCTTGTCCTTTTCTGCTAACTGGTTGTTCTGCTTTTGTTTTGGTTTTTTGGTTTTCTTTTTTTCTTTTTAATAATTCCTTTACGAGATAAACCTGAAGATCCTAATGCTATGTTGACCCTATAACATCCCTGTATAACCTCATAGAAATAACCATCTTCCTCCCACCCAATCCTCCTGCAAGATTCGTGTACAAGAAAATTGTACAAGCATTGAGAAAGAGGTAGGCTTTGCAAACAAGATGTCGATATCAAAAAAATCCAAGAGGGAAATGAAAATGACATTCTTCTTATCTTACTGTGCTCCTTAGCACCTGTCAAAAGCTTAGGTTAATGGAAAACATCATCTCAGTTTTTAAAAGGCTTTTCCCATCATTTCAGCACTAACAAAAACCCCTTAAAAGTCAGAATTAGGCAAACTCATTGAAATACCTTTTATACCCACATAGCCATAAAATATACACTCATATTACTGTGTGTCAAACGTGGAAGATTCCAAGTTTTGGGGCAAGTCCTCTCCTCACCTTAACCCTGCACTGAGACTCGGCTGTGTATCAGGACCCTCAGCACCTCTCTTTCCTTGTCTCCTTTTTTTTTTTTGCACTTGGTGGGAAGGATGATGGCCAAGGGAGGCAGAAGCCGTAACCAGCTCCTAAAATGGACCACCAGAGGACCCTGCTGTGTGCCTCCCACAACTCAGTGCTTATGTAGTCACCAGGTCCAGGATCATAAGCCCTCAGCCATGGCCAGAGACATGATTTACCTTGGGTGAATACCCTGTCAGACCACTTGCTCCATGCAAAGAAAGATAAAAGCATGTCTTACCTTATTTCAGTATCATTGGACTAATTTTTCCCACCACAAAATAAGTATTCCTCTTCTGCTGGTGAAAATAGTTTTCCTCTTTATATCAGTACTATATTTGCTAGAATAAACTGATAAAAAAGTATCTTAAATAATTGTGTCTGGAACTGGCATCACGCACATAAATTCAACCACAGGGAACTTGTGCATATTCTTATTAAATTCCCTTTACCCATCAGGGATTCCTACATCTACAGAGAAAGACCATCCCTTGAAAGATGTAGCAAATAAAAAATCTTATCACCTCTCAGCTTTCATTCCTAATATGCTACATGACCTACTATAAAGACAGAGAATGAAAAAGTCCAATCCCTACATCAGCTGAGCAACTTCGCTCTTTTGCCATAACTTTGTTATTTTTCTCACTGACCATTTCTAGGAGATGAAGACATGATGCTTCAAAGCACATTTGCTTTCACTTTACTTTTTAAAGGAAAACAAGCCGAAAAGATTCCTGTGTCATGGACCCATACTGATGCGCTGTATCATTAAAGGTCTGTTTTGTATCAGTGGATTTCTGTGTGAAAACAAACGTAAGGAAAGGCAGCACAGCACAAATTCTGGTTCCTTTTTCAAACTTACTTTGCTTCTGCCTATATCCACTGTCTCTGGTGGCAACACAAGCCACCATTCCCTGCAGGAAACTTTGAACAAAAGCAGGGGTCTTGAATAAAATATTCCATGAAACTTGCTCTTGTTGCTTGCTAGTGGAGGTAAGTCTGCGCTTTCACAGTTGTATGAAAGCAGACTTCTCTTAAAGATATCGCTGTAGGCTGCCTGTTTGTTTCCATGACAAATTCTCTCTCTGCAACTGACAGCTAAATAAACCATTTGGTATCACTGTTAACTTCAAGCTTGCTGCTGATCACCCAGTAGGAAGCAAGTCAAATTCTACATGTTGGGTTTTTTTAAGTAAGAATTTACAGCTACACTCCTCTCTACAGCACTCATCTAGCACCATGTACCCACAAAGCACCAGCTTAGAGACCAGGTATTTTTCTTATTAGTGAACTGTTTCTCGGGCTACATTATATGCAGAATATTGTGTCTAAGTAGACTTCATCTGTGACTGAATTCCCACTGAAACAGAAGAATAAGGGATATGAAAAGTGAGATTAATATATGGCAAATGGACAATTTGCTGACAACCTGATGGATGGCTTGATTGCTGCTTTGGAGGAAATAATGTTATATTACTAAATTCAAAATGTAAGTAAGCCTGGGGGCTATCTAATTTGCTGTGGCTTACATCAATTCTAAGTAAAGACAGGAGGCACTGTGTGTATGTCAAACACATCTAGATCTTCTAAAATCTGGCTGCTCTTGGTTTCCTTTATCTCTACCTAAAATTTCCTTAAAGGACTTACCTTCCTACACATTTGCTGAGTTACCCAATTTCTTGCCACAATGAGGCACCAAATTTACTGAAGTCTTGTAAACTAAACTCAGTTGGAAAAATACACAGAGAATCATAAGAAATTTAAAATTCTAATTCTTAATAAATTTAATATAATTAAGTCCATAATTATAAAAATTACAAAGAACTATAAAAGAAGGAACACCCAGATCAGAAACTCTTGATCTGAAAATAGTAGCTCTGCAAAAAATGGTGCTCAACAAAAAGAAGCACAGACATTCAACTGTCTTAGTGATGAAGCTGTTGGTCTTCGGCAAGCTTCAGCAAGTCTGAGACCTTGGTAAATGGCAGGTTGTAATCCTTTTATATGGCTTTAGACTTTCCATAAGCTCCTTAAGGCCCAGGAACTAAGTATGCATGGCCTTCTGAAATGTAGTGTGTGGAGATCATTGTAAAAAACTGCCAGCTGCATAGAAGTGGGTGCAATATGAGACAGCATCTACTGTGTCTTCCACAAACAGAAACTCCTGCGTGAGTGATGGTGGGTTCGTCCTCTCCAGAGCAGAGACAAGCTCTGAACCCAGAACACTCTGCCCTTGCACAGAAGGCAATGCCCTCCCTTTTTCTTGTTTTGCAGAAACTTGCCCAGACTGGAATTGTGCAGTCTGGCTTCATAAAGAGTTTTAAATAAAGGACTTAAAAGGAAGAGTCCCTCCCATTATTTTTTTCTAAGGCAAAATCCAAAATCTTAAATACTTGAGCATCTCAACATTATTACTGTATTCCATGGGGTTAGTGAAAGACAAGGCTTGGTCCAAATTTACCCTCGTGCCAACTAGAACTCTGCATCCATAAAGCCCTGAATTATGGCCCCAAAACCGCAGGTCAGGCATCAATCATAGTCTGAGTTGTCTGTGCTCTTCTCCATTCAGCAACAGAAAAAAGAAAATGTTCCTTAAAAAATGTTCATCACCCCCAGTGAACTGGAGTGTTCGTGTTGCCAAGCAACTGCGCTGCATCTCTGCACCTCTAAGACCCACAGATCAAAACCCAGTGTCAACAGAAAAGTTTGAGAGTCCAGTCAGGATTATGGCACATGAATATTGATAAGAAAAATGCAAGAAGAGGGTACATATCTGCAGCTCTGTTTTTTTTAATTAATATTGTTCTCAATGGGGCTACCAGTATAAGAGCCAGATGTTTTTCAAAACTTCAAGACAAATACAGGTGCTTTTCAACTTGCAAAAAGTTGGTTATTCAATTTGCAGTCAAGCAGATATTTTGCAACTACTGTAGAAACACTCATTAAACCCCTGAAGAGCTGGGTCTTGGCCATTACTGATGTATTCCAGAGGGAACAACACTGTTTTTCACCAGTAACAGCAAATATATTCTGTTCTCTTACAATGTCAACATATTTTCTTCATGTCTCCTCTTGTCTATGCTGTCCTTGAATATCAATTAGTTCTTTGGACAGATAGCCCAGAGTGCATTACATCATTACTTTGCACCTTTCCGGGGTGACACTTAGGTCCAAGGCTGAGCAGAAGTGGAAGAAGAGATAGACAGAGGTGGGACTGCCTGCTGAGCTGTGCCTCTGCCATGCCATTCATCAGAGAAAAAACAGCAACCAGGATAAACCATGGGTGGGGGCAGGTTATGGTGAGGGGGCACAGACTGGGTACCATTTCGGTAACTAGTTTAATTGGCTCTTCTGCAAAACAGCTCTTGAAATAGTTAAATGGAAATAGTGACTGCACTGGGAAATCCACGTAAGCCCAGGGAATTCCTAAGCTAATAACTAAACACACAGAGTTTAGAAAGTCAGATAATTAAAGAAGGAGAGAGGGGAAAGCAGACTAACATATTTCTGCGCTAAAGCTCCCAATGTCCACCCTTACAAACAACACACTGAACTTCACCAAGTAACAGAATCACTGCAGTTTATCAGGCAGATGTTGTGCTTGTATCAAAAAATCTCACTAGCAAGATGAAAGTAGGTTGGAGATAGAGCAGTCAGATAACACAGAATAACACAAGCTATCATCTCTGAGCAGTGGAGCAGGATTAACCAGAGGGATGAAGATTTCTAGCAGAGATCACATTGCAGTTGGTAGAGTATTTGCTGTGAATGCAGAGCTGAAGCAATGTGGAAGCCAGACGAGTGGCTCAAAGAAAGATGTAACTACTACTAACAGATCTCTGAAATAACAAAAAGAGAGAAAGAGATTAAAGTAGTGCAGACCAGGGACAAGGCAGAGACAGCTCTTGAGGTAGAGGTAGACAACAGGGGTATAAGGTGTAAGTCACTGGATCAAAGATAAATATGATATGTTTGATTTTCTAATACATATATGAAATCTGTTATCAAGAAACAAAGCAAAGCTTTTAATTAGTATGCCTGCAAGTTCAAGCATGATCAAAAATATGGTGAATATCTGAGTTACTGAAAAGATGATTTGAAATAATCATGTAAGCACAACAATCATAGAATAGTTAGGGTTGGAAAGGACCTTAAGATCATCTAGTTCCAGCCCCCCTGCCATGGGCAGGGACACCACACACTAAACCATGTCACCCAACCTAGCCTTGAACACTGCCAGGGATGGAGCATTCACAATTTCCCTGGGCAGCCTTTTCCAGTGCCTCACCACCCTCACAGTAAAGAACTTCCTCCTTATATCCAACCTAAACTTTCCCTGTTTAAGTATGAATCTGTTACCCGTTGTCCTATCACTACAGTCCCTAATGAAGAGTCCCTCCCCAGCATCCCTATAGGCCCCCTTCAGATACTGGAAGGCTGCTATGAGGTCTCCACGCAGCCTTCTCTTCTCCAGGTTGAACAGCCCCAACTTTCTCAGCCTGTCTTTATACAGGAGGTGCTCCAGTCCCCTGATCATCCTCGTGGCCCTCCTCTGGACTTGTTCCAACAATTCCATGTCCTTTTTATATTGAGGACACCAGAACTGCACACAATACTCCAGGTGGGGTCTCACAAGAGCAGAGCAGAAGGGCAGGATCACCTCCTTTGCCCTGCTGGTCACGCTCTTTTTGATGCAGCCCAGGATACGGTTGGCTTTCTGGGCTGCAAGTGCACACAGAAACTGGCTCATGTTCAGTTTCTCAAGAAAACTATTAAGCCCTTGATACTCTGACAAAGAGGGCAATAACAGTATATCCAATTTAGATTACAGTTAGAACCATCATATTTTAGACTGCATTATACATTGCCTGTGGAGTGATTTATTTCATTGAGAGACTGTAGCATGTAAGATTATAGAAAAACAGGGGATCATTCTTCAGACAATGCTGTTGCCCTTGTGTGTGACATAACATATTTGCAGATTTCTTACATCAATAACTTGTGTAATGAACTAAAACTGGAGAGGCACATGCTCAAATTAGACAGCTTCAAAGTCAAAGGGATTTGCTTTGGTCAGTGGTCCCTAGCCAGTGATCTCTCTGGTGAACTGAAAACATTCGAGAGCCGAGAGGCAGCAGCTAAAAGAGATGCTATGTTGTTCCTCCCATACCCAAATTCACAAGCATTTGGCTTTAACAGTGAAAGCGTATACAAACAGGCACAGTTCATGTAATGCAGTTCTCAGTTCTGAGACCCCGTTTTCTTCTGTTGTGGCCTTTCATCTCCTAATTCTCATGCTCACTCAAATTCTCTTGCCTGAGCAGATGACGCCGGGCAGCAGGCAGGCAGCATGGTCCTGCGTATCAGGTCATGCTTAGCAAGGCTCCTTCTGGGAGGGAGTATGGACTCGGGAGGGCATGACTACTCCTGTAGCATTTCAGTAGATTACTGTCTATACAGCACCTGATTTTGGCTACTTCTGCCCTGCCACACATGCATTCCCTCTTGGTTGCTGCTGAAGGAGAACCCCATTTGCTGGCAGATCTAGGGAAGGAGGTTTGGGCATTTGGGGTTCTGTAGGAACTTTGAAGAGCTGACAGGCAATGCAGTTTGGAAACTCATTGATCTCTGGAGGCCAAATATCTTCCACCATGTAGAAAAATCAGAAAGTCCTCACATTAATACTCAGTCTGCCTGGAAAAGTATGCCATGCTACCCATGGTGATTTCATATTTCACACTGCTCACAGTTATTTGGAGATGAGGCTTTCTGTGAGGGAAATGACCATTACCAGGGTACTGGGACATTACTTGTTGTTGCAAGTAAAGCTCAGATAAACTGTCTGTGTGCAGCTAATAGAGATTCACTCTGATCTCACTGTTAGGAGCTGGCTATGTGACATTACAACTACAGAGGTGCAGCAGAAGCCACCCATGCCCCTTGTTCCTCCTCCACTGACACCTGGGTGCCCCAAGGCACAGGTCCCCAATCTCAGAGCAGCAACCAAATGCTCAACAGGAGCACCTCCAAGGAGGGACTGGAAGAGAGCCCCAGGTATCTACCTACCCTCCATCTGCAACACTGAATATCACAGGTTAACTGGAGGGCAGACGATAACATTGAGGATGCCCTGGTACAAAAGTCCACCTGCTCTCCAAAGATCCCTATTAGAAATCAGAATTTTCAAACAATTGGATAGATTTTTGTCACTGTCTGGACAAATGCTGGGCCTCAAGAATGTCAAATATAGTATGGCAGCCACGACACAGCTACAGCAGCATATCGACTCCAAAACCAAGCTTACTTGCAAGCAAGTGATTTCGTTTTATGTCTCCACATCTGTTATAAATTGCAGGAAAAGTGGACTGCAGATAGCTGTAGGGAGCAAGGTCAGCACCAAGAGAATAGACGTCAAATAGTCAAAATCGTGATTACAGAATGTGCCAGCTTGAGAAGGAAATTTCTATTTTGGGAGTATATTAGAAGCAATACAAAGGCTTTCTGTTTCACCTCTTATGCTCCACATATGCCGCCTTTCTTGATATTTTCCTGCAGCCTGATGTCCCCTGGAGAGCTGGCTGGGTTTGCTAGGTGCAATAGGCCAGACCTGCCAACATATGTTGGGATAATAGGGTTCCAGCACTTCCCTCTAGAAGCAAAGAAGCAGGTATAGGCGAAACTCTCCATTCATTTACAGGGAAGCTGTTCTTAAGAAAGGTTAAGGTAAATCTTGCAAAATATTTAGTCTGAATATTACCTTAAATGTTCAAATTATTTACTTCCAACATGCTGTCTCTTTTATCAGTTCCTTTTCTGCAAATATTACTAAAACAGATTTTTGCTGGCACAGCTATTTAAAGAAAGAGAATATCAGTATAACATACATGAATATTCATAGTGATAAAATTTTACTTTTACAAGCACCAATATGTACACCAACACGTTTATTAAGCCACATGAAAAAAATACTGCCATGTGGCTTATCCAGCCAATTGCAGAGAGCTACTGCATCTCAAGTACCGAGTATTCACAAGGTACTATAAATGAGCAGTCCAAAGAGACAAATCCATTAACATTTGTACAGTGCACTGACTAATGCACAATTTTAATGAAATGGGTTTGTGAAGTTATTCTTATTAATGACATTTATGAATTAGAGTGCTTCTGCAAAAGCTGTAGCAGTCGAGTATTGCTACCTCACAAGTAGAGAAACAGGTTACAGTCACATAATAAATCACTATGTAATGTTATTCTCTGTAGTTTTATCTTCACTTTATAACAGCACCTTTCCAACTGTCTACAGTGTTTCTTGACTTCCAGAAGACATAGGCTCAGTCAGTCTCATACAACATATAAAATCTCTGCTGTACTTTTTCTATGAAAGATGGGGGGGGGGGTGTTAAGCTAGTATCTTCACCTTGATCATTACAGGATTCTAATGTACTAAAAAAAACAAAAGTACACACAAAGGGGGACTATTAAAAAAAAACATTTGTATCCTTTTATTCTTTAAATGTAATTTTCCTTGAAATGGGTCATACAAGCAACACTCCTTTATCACGGAAAGGGGTCAGTCCTGCATAATGCTGAAGGACACTGTAATAGATAAGGAGATTCTGAAGCAATTTTATATATAATTCTACTACCATCCCTTTATTCCTTGATGCCAACTTAATTCTCATCTGAAGTGCAGGTAAGAGCCCTAGCTGATAAGGACTTTCAGGGAAGTGTTGCAGAGGAAAAGCTCTGAGCTATTTCATATAAAAGATCAGGTTATTGAATTGTAAGTTTCAGTCAGTTTTTGAAGGAAAATTACTACATAGCTTCATATAAAGTGAATATATAATAAAGCTAAACATCTTGTGCATGTATATTGAAGATAATGAATAGCATTTGGAATAGTGTCAGTAAGACTTTTTAAAAAAAGCTCAAAGATAACAAAATCACCTGTTCTTTACTCAACTCCCCAAAATATTCCTAACACAAATATTGTCAGTTAATAACCAGTTCTGCCTTAATGAAAGCAAAACTTAAGCTTAATTAGAACATGCTGCAATTTCCCATCCTGCACATCTTGCATCTTAGTTTTCTTACTCTTTTCCCCTGAACAACTGACTGTTTTTCCCAATCCCCAAACCTCTTCACTCAGACCAGGCTTTGTACAGGAGATCTGGTCCCCTGGCAATCAAAGCACATGCTCCTTTGACCTTCATTCGGCAATGCATGCTGTTGTACAATGTTTTTAACTGCAGTAATGCCTCAGAACCTGCCACTTCATGTTAGCACAGAAATTTCTGTACAGCCTTTTTTCCCACTTTTTGGAGTGAAATGGGAACTCTGTATCTGAAGATACAGCCCCTATTCCCCCCTCTGGATCATTCATTGAGGACAGCAGATGTACCCTTGGGTTTTGTACACTCAAAAGAACAATTTCTGTATTGTGCTGCTAAAACGTGGTACTTAATGTCATGAATTTAGCATCTGTCTATTTGGTTTGTTGTGAAGACAAGTGTCCTGGTTTAACTCCAGCCAGCAGCTAAGCCCCACACAGCCGCTTGCTCAATAGACCACAGTGGGATGGGGGAGAGAATCAGAAAAGTGCGAAAGCTACTGGGTTGTGATAAAGGCAACTTAATAAGTAAAGCAAAAGCTGTGAGCACTAGTAAAGCAAAACAAGGAATTCGTTCACCACTTTTCATGGTCGGGAAAGTGTTCACCTTCCTCAGGAAAGCAGGGCTGCATCACATGTAATGGTTACTTGGGAAGACAAACACCACCACTGAACATTCTCCCTTCCTTCTTCTTCCCCCAACTCTATATGCTGAGCATGAGGCCGTATGGTATGGGATATCCCTTGGGTCAGTTAGGGTCAGCTGTCCCAGCCATATCCCACCCCAACTTCTTTGTGCACCCCCAGCCTGCTCACTGGTGGGGTGGTGTGAGGAGCAGAAAAGGCCTTGACTCAGTGTAAGCACTGCTCAGCAATAACTAAAATATCCCTCTGTAATCAATGCTGTTTACTGCAGAAATCCAAAACACAGCCCCATACCAGTTACTTTGAAGAAAATGTACTCTGTCCCAGACAAAACCAGCTCAACAAGGAGGAAAGGGATGGATTTTCTAGTAGCTCAACCTGTAGAAATGTTACAATACCATTTGACTACCAGAGATTTTTATTTTTCACTCAGTGAGCAACCAGTATGATTTTTCTCTTCTTCATCAGATCAGCTCTCAGCCCCAACACATTTAATCAGCACAGTTATATTTTTAAACTTTAGGATAACTTTGTAGCTTCTAGAGAGCACAGCTAACAGGAAGGTAAGATGCCTTACCACCTTTTAGAACACAGAATTCCCACCATTCAGGTTTGTCAAATAAGTGCAAGATTACATCTGCTTTGGCCATCTTTTTGGATTTTAGTTTTTGTTTGTTTGCTTGTTTATCTCAGGGACTAGAGCAGTAAGTGTGGCAAAGCTCAATTATAACTACATGGGGCAAGGCCAACCTGGTATTACCTCCAGAGT